ATATATATATATATATATATGAAGTGGAGCAAAAGGAAAACAGTATTGCAATGAAAACTAAAATTCCCAAAATCCACATCAATAGTACACATAAATATCATAATATCCAATACAATCAAAATGACAAAAAATCTGCAATACCAAGAGAAAGTAAATACAGACATCAGAATCAGTACTCATCCTCCTCCTCATCATCCTAATCCACAGCCTTGAAGTGCTCAAACATCTGATAAGGAGGATAAACAGGGAACTCTACGCTCTGGTATCCTCTCAAAAAGCTCACTAGGGACGTATTGAAGCTCACTTCATAGTCACTTTTGCATTTCAAATAATTTTTCAAATGCTCTCAATGTTCTCCATTCTCTTGAAGCTGACACTGTACATAAAGTATATCACCTTGTTGTATTTATATCTTCTCCATTACAATGTCTAATCTAACAGGTGAGTGAGTCGAAGTACTAGAGGCAGAAGGTCTCAAAGCTGAAGTGGATGGAATATCAGAAGCTCTACCCCAAGATCTTTTATATAATTCCACATTAGCCTTAGCAATAGGCTTTAATGGTTGTAGTGGCTCTTACCAAGTTTCATATTTAACCCCAGAATGCTTGAAAATAGTAAAGATAAAGGAAGGGTAGCCCATACCTGCAGAAGTACTAGCTATGACAGACATCAAAATAATTTTGTAGATAAGAGCATATGGTATGTAAGAACATATGGTATAATATCACTAAAAATAAAGTTCACATTATCTTCATACCATGGAACACACCACTCATTGATAGTGAATAATTTTTCATCTGAAAAATGGTCATTAGCTTCTTTTTCAAAACAGAGGAATTTTTTTTAATTCAGGCCTGGACAGATGATCAACAATTTGATTATCAGCTCCCTTCCAATCTACTATTTCAAAGTCAAATTCTTCCATAAGAAGAATCCTTCTTATCAATCTTAGTTTTGCATCCTTCTTTTTCATTAAATATTTAATATTAGAATGATCTATATGCACAACACATTTTGTTTCAATTCAATATGATTAAAATTTATCAAAAGCGTATACTATTGCTAATAACTCTTTCTCAGTTATGGTATAATTAGTTTGAGCTTCATTTAGATTTCTAATAGCATAATAAATTACTTTAAAAATTTTATCTTGTTTTTTGTCATAAAACAGCTTCAATAGCATAATTACTTGCATCACACATCAATTCAAAAGATTTTTCCCTATATGTTGAAACAATAATTGGTGCAATGACTAATTTTTTTCTTAATAGCTCAAAAGCTTTTAGGCACTCCTTATCAAAATTAAAAACTACATTTTTTTGAGTAAATGACATAGAGGCTTACCAATTTTTTAGAAGTCTTTAATATATCGCTTATAGAATCCATCATGTCTTAAAAAACTTCTAATTTCCTTTACATTTGTTAGGTGAGGTAAATTAACGATCACTTAAATTTTTGCAGGATCTACTTCCATACCATTTTTTGGTATGTGATGTCCTAAAACAATTCTTCCTGCTACCATAAATTGACATTTTTCCCAATTAAGGACTAAATTTGTTTCTTCACAACACTTAAGAACTCTTGATAAATGTTCTAAATATGATTCAAATGAAGTTCCAAACACTGAAAAATCATCCATAAGAACTTCAATTCCTTTTTCAATTAAATCACACAAAATAGCTATCATACATCTTTGAAATGCAACGGGGCATTACATAAACCAAAGGGCATTCTTCTAAAAGCAAATGTATCATAAGGACTGATGAACATTTTTTTTTACTTGATCCTCAGGAGCTATTTGTATTTGGTGATAATTAGTATATTCATCCAGAAAATAAAAATATTTATGCTCTGCTAGTCTATCCAACATTTGATCTAGAAAGGGTAGTAGAAAATGATCTTTCCCAGTGGCGAGATTTAATTTTCTATAATCAATTTGCCACCCTGTGACTTGTCTTATTGGATTAACTTGTTATGTTCATTAATAGTCACATGCACTCCTCCTTTCTTAGAAACACAGTGAGTTGGATTAACCCATGCACTATCTGAAATAGGGTCAATAATTCTAGCATCTAGCTACTTTAAAATTTCTTTCTTAACAATTTCTTTCATAGCAGGATTCAATCTCCTTTGAGGATCAGCTGTGGGTTTGTAGTTTTCTTCCATAAGAATTCTATGCATACAAATTGAAGGACTGGTTCCTTTAATATCCAAAATTATCCATCCAATTGCTTTCTTATAATTCTTCAAAGTTTACATTAAACTTTCATCTTCTAAAGTTAAATTTGAGGAAATTATAACTGGTAATGTTGTGGAATCACTTAAAAGGGGATATTTTAAATGTTTAGGAAGTAACTTCAATTTAAATTCAGAATGTTTTACAATTGATGGACAAAAGCATTTATCTTTTTCTATAGTGTCCAAAACTTTAAAACTTTCTCGAGCATAATTTGAATCTTCGTCATGAAACTCATCAGATTTCGCTAATTCCTCTTCTTGCTCATGTTCCAACTCTTTCGTTTTATATTTCTCTTCATAAGTTGTTTTGAAATGACATTCACTCAGATATCTTATTGCATTCATCCTATAACATTCATCATCTTTACCTTCTGCAGGATACTTCACTGATTTTAAAATTTTAAAAGTAATTCTTTGATCATTGACGCACATAGTTAATTCCCTTTTTCGCACATCTATCATTGCTCTTCTTGTGGCTAGGAAATGTCTCCCCAAAATGATAGGTATCCCTTTATCTTTCTCCATTTCAAGCACAATGAAATCAACAGGAAAGATAAATTAATCCAATTTCACTAAAATAACTTTTATAACTCCCTTAAGATATATTATTGAACGATCTGCTAACTATAAAGTTACAGTAGTAGGGGATATTTCTCCTAATCTCAGTCTTTTAAATATTGATAACGACATAAGGTTAATGCTTGCACCGAAATCACATAAAGTTTTCCCATAAAAATTGTCTCCTATTGCTCACAACATAAAGTTTTCCCATAAAATTTGTCTCCTATTGCTCACGGAATTGTGAATCTACTAAGATCTTTGAGCTTTTCAAGTAGCTTTTTCTGACTTATAATATTGCACTGCTCACCAAGTGCAGCAGTCTCGATATATTCAAACTTCCTTTTTCTGTTAAGAATATCCTTCATAAACTTCACATAGCTTGGCATTTGTTCTAAGGCTTCAACAAACGAAATATTAATTGTAAGCTTTTTAAGGATTTCCATAAATTTTAAAAAAATTTTATCCAACTTTTGTTGACGATGTCTCTGAGGAAATGGAGATTGGTGGTTTTTTCAAGTCAATTTTTAGTGGAGAAATAGGTCTCTCTAATCATTTCAAAGCTTTCTCTTTAGGCTCTTCAATTTCTTCTCTCTCTAGTTCACTCTTTTTTTTTAACACTACCTTCGAACTCTCTTCCACTTTTAAGTTGAACAGTTTTTACTTGTTCTTTATTCCAGTCTTTTAGATTTACCTTTTTGAACAGTTTTTACTTGTTCTTTATTCCAGTCTTTTGGATTTACCTTTTTTATTATTAGGAAGTGTTCATTGAGATCTATTACTTAATGAATTTGCTATTTTTCTTAGTTGATTCTCAATATTAATAAATTTGAATATTATTTGTTGCATCTGATAACACTGTTTTATGATACATGTGTAAATTTCAAGGATTATAGTCAAGGATGTGTCCGAGATGAAAATCATTTCTTGGCAATCTTACTTGGATGGAGAACTTCTACGAGGTGAAAGGGAAATGCAAGATATGAATCTAATATCTTAAGTGGATAAGAGAATAATGACTATGTACATAAATAATAAGATTATAATACATACGATGTTTTTTGTGTAATCAATGAATTTCTTTTAAAATCACAATTAAGTGCGCTCCTATTGATGCACGCATGGCATGGATGAACTCTTGAAAAATTACTCAAAAATTGAATAAAATTATGAGCTTTAGTTTGGCAGGTGATGAGTTGGGTCAAAGTGAACAATATATTACTTAGAATAACTTGAGTCACAAAAACTCTGTAGTATGATTTTTCTTCTCAAATGTTCTTCATTAAAAATTTCATGCCACATTCCAACTTGATCACTTATTGAATATTCTAAGGAGATCAAAGTCTTCATCTCCATTAATTCAAAATCGAGCACAAAAAAGATATAGGGTTTGTTTAATTCAATCCAAGTTTAAATCAAATAACAGTTCAATTAAAGTTAAATCTAATCCGTTAGTGGATCATTAATTAGTAAATTTGTTTCAAGCAAAGAGAAAAAAATCAAATTGTTTGGGGCATTTCACTCCTCTCAAGTTACAATCAGAACAAATGTTTGCCATTCAACCTTGGTCACCATTTTGTTGAGGCATCTACATACATGCCATCTAAAAGTAAATTAGAAGCCAGGATTATTACTGCGCTGTTAATACAAAGGCAGCGACGGAGGGATGTGTGCAAACTTCGAAAGGAGCCATCAGTAACTGGAGAGGAGAGAAAAGGAGTGGGACGCTAGGGGCATTGAGAGAGTGACGGGGCGATGTACTGAGATTAGAGAGAGAAAGAGGGCAAGCAGGTGAAAGATCTTCGTTTATTTGTTTCCTACCATCTCGTCTTAGCTCTTTTTTTTTCCCCTTCTTCGCTCCTTCTCTGTCCATCTCTTCCAATCTACCCGCATTCATTCCTTGCTTCTCACTTTCCAATTCACGAGATCCCCATCTCTTCATTTCCTTACCCTTTCTTGTTCACACACTATCTCTCCCATATCTCTCCGATCTGCCATCTTCACTTTCTTCCCCCTCTTCTCCCTCTCCCGTTTCATGTCTTCTTCTCCGAAATCGCAATCGTTCCCCATTCTCTTTAATTTCTGCGGCCATTTCAGCTAGCAAGAGAGCGGAAACGTCGAGGCTTTTTGGCGAGATGTCGAGGTCGGATTCTCAGAAACACTTTTCGGCGCAGTCCATCTCCGATCGCTTTGACTCTGCGCTCAGCTTCGAGGGTAACAAGCCCGATGCCAAGAACTTCGATCATCTCGATTCGCCCGTCTCTCCCCTCCGTACAGGTGCTACAGCCGCTGCCGCCACCAGCAGCAGCTCGAGCTCCTCGGGCTCGTTCTCCGGAAAGCCCCTCCCCAATGTAGCACTCGCCGCCACGAAGTCCGATGACTTAGCAAGGCGCAATCACTCCGGGGAGCTCTCTGGCTCAAGTCATGGGAGCCCTAGCCGTAGACCAGGACATCGTCGGTCCGGATCTGGCCAGCTTGTGTTCTCCAGCTCCGCTAACTCCCCGGCGACCAATGTGCTCCCAGCGGGGAATATTTGCCCTTCCGGGAAGATAGGGAAGTCTGGGATGATGAGTCGAAGCACGGCGAGAAGCGATGTACTTGGATCTGGTTCAGCGAATTATGGGCACGGGAGTATAATGAGGGGCGTTACCACTGGGTTTGGTACGGAAATGAAGAATTTGAGGCCGATGAGAGTGGATCCAGAGGAGTTAACCAAGGTTGGAAACGAGCATTACAAGAAGGGGCAGTTTACGGAGGCGCTGGGTTTCTATCATCGAGCAATCGAGATGTGTCCCAGCAATGCTGCTTGCTGGAACAACAAGGCAGCAGCTCTCATTGGGCTGGGAAGATTGGGGGAGGCAGTGAAGGATTGTGAGGAGGCCATTCGGCTCAACCCGAACTATTCCAAGGCTCATCAGAGGCTTGCTTGCTTACATCTTAGGTAATTTTTGCTTTGCCACTCAGTGACATCTGTAAAAATACAGTTAATTGTTTTTTTTTCTTTCTTTCTTTTCTTTAATTTTTTCTTTTTTTCTTTTTTTATGATTCCTACTTGTATGTTGCATCCATTTTTTTCTGTAATGATAAGATATTTGTGCTGGATGTGTGTTTTGTTCCAGTTGATATATAATTTTATTTATGTTTACCCTGAGATGTTGTCAATGTAATTACTGCTTTAGGTTATGCTTTTTGTCAATGCAATTACCAATAAGGTTGTTCTTTACTTCTTCATTCCAGGGAATGCTTTATTGCATTTTTTTTAGATGATTGGGTGACTGCTCATATATTTGTTCTAAATTTATATTCTGTTGATTTTGGTGTTGCATTTCATCGGTGGTCTGTGTGTAAAGTTGAACCTTGAGTAAAAAATATTAATCTTTGCGCCATTGTGTGTTTTTCTAATTCTTTTGTGGTTACAAGAAATCTTAGCTCACTAGTATGTGCAATTGAGGCTGATTATGCATAACTAGCTTTTGAATATGCGAACTTTATAGTTGTTTTGACCATATTAGCCAATTATTATTTTCCCTGTGTTCAAAATATGGTTGACTTTATCGTTGAATTAAGAAATGATAATTCTATTCATTAGTCTAATAATTGTTTACATGTTATTAGATGTAGCTATCATTGTGGTTGTGTGTGATTGTATATTTCCTTCTATGAGAAGAAAGTAGATCAATTCTTTTAGCACATCTTTATGTTCATATGATTTCTATCGGTTCATGTTTAGCATTGCTATTTATCTGTTTTGCGATTTTATTATCTTTCAAAAAAATAGAAATATGCCAGTATACTTTGATAAAACAAAGGAAATTTTGAAGTAGAAAGTTAGATTCTATAATAAATAATTTATTTTAATGATAACTTGATAATTAGTGCTTAGATAATGATATATAAGATAATTGTTAATTGATTTAACGAAACATACTTTCTGTAATATAGATCTCCTCTCTAGATTCCATATTTGCGAGAGCATCATGCAATAAGTACACCCATTTTCTTATTGAGTTTATTTATTGGAATATGAAAGCAACTGAAAATAGTGTTGGTCGTATTTTCTGAATTTCTAAAAGTAATTTGATTTGTTTTGAAAATTAGAAATATGCATGCTCATTTAAACATGTTTTGTGGCATTTTTCTTGCAGCCTTAAACATATTAACATAGATTATACACTAAAAACTCTTCTACTGGGGGATTCCTATTTGAATTTGCTTGTTTTCTGATATGAACTATATGATTAAAAGTGCTGACATGTAATCTTTAACTAGCCTTACTTTTCATGCAAGTGAACGTTGTGATATTCTTTTTCTTCTATACATTGTGTTCCCTTGGTTTCTAAAATTTCAGTCTTGCTTTTGCAATGGCTTCACATATATTGGACAATCTGATAGCTAGCAATTATTTTCATTTTTGATTGGCTAAAACTAATTTGCTAAACAGGTTGGGGCAGGTTGAATATGCACGGAGGCACCTCTTTTTGGCCGGACACCAGCCTGACCTTGCTGAGATGCAGAACCTCCAGATGGTGGAGAAGTATCTGGAAAGATGCTCTGATGCTCGGAGGATGGGGGACTGGAAAAGTGCTCTGAGGGAAGCAGATGCTGCCATTACAGCGGGCACAGACTCTTCACCTTTGGTAAATGAACTCAATTTTTATGAGTAAAGTGCCAAAATAGTTCCTTTACTATTTACAAGGGATCATATTATTATCAGTCTAAATGTATATTATTCCTCGGACACTTTAAATTGGGGCTGAAAAAGTTCCCACACAAGGCTAGTTTAGCCCATTTTAAAAGATTGTAGGGACTAAATTGACACTTTTATGTAATCTGGTAATAAGATGAACCCTTGCAAAAGGGGGCTATTTTGACACTTTTTTCCAATCTTTATCAACCTACTTCATGATTTCACCAAAAAATTCTAGGAATATGAATGACTTATTAGTTTAAAAATAACAGATTACAGCGTTGAGAGCAGAAGCTCTTCTTCATCTTCAACATCTTGAAGAAGCGGATTCAACTCTTGCAATAGCATACCAACTGGCCAACAAATCACCATCCTCTTTCCAGACCAAGTTTCTTGGTATGCTTTCAGGTTCTTATATCTCATTTGTGCAAGCCCAAGTTGATATGGCTTTGGGAAGGTGAGCTAATAAAATTTGACTTCCAAAATATGGTGATTGATAGCATTGAATCAATGAGAATGTATGATGGAAATTTTGTAGGTTTGAGAATGCTGTTACGTCAGCTGAGAAGGCCCGCCAGATAGATATACATAATGCTGAAGTATCAGGGTTGTGGGAAAAAGTGAAATTTGTGGCTAGGGCTCGTGCCCAAGGTAACGAGCTTTTCAAGTCCGGAAATTTTGCAGAAGCCTGCACAGCTTATGGAGAAGGACTCAAGTATGATCCATCAAACCCAGTGCTCCATTGCAATAGGGCTGCTTGTCGGTCTAAACTTGGGCAGTGGGAGAGGTCTTTGGATGACTGTAATGAAGCTTTGAGAATTCAACCTAGGTACACCAAGGCGCTTCTTAGACGAGCTGACTCTTATGCTAAGGTTAGAATCTTAAGCCTTTCTATTTTTATGCAATGAAACTATTGTGAAGGATGATCATTTGGTGCCTTTATTTTTTAGCTTGAACGGTGGGTGGAAGCAGTTAGAGATTATGAGATTTTGAGAAAGGAACTTCCTACAGACACTGAGGTAGCAGAAGCATTATTTCATTCTCAAATTGCTTTGAAAATGTCACGAGGTGAGGAGGTTTCCAACATGAAATTTGGTGGTGAAGTGGAGAAAATAACAGGTCTGGAGCAATTACAGGCAGCAATAGCTCTTCCAGGTGAGCTGCTTTCATTTTAAATTCTCAGGATTCTGTACTTTTTTTTCCTTTTTTGCTCTCTATATTTACTCTGCCTGATTTGAAATTTGGCGGTGCTTTCTGCTTGACTGAATTTTGTATAAACTGTTGTACTAAGTTTCAATGTTGGTTTGATAGGCAGCACTGTTCTTGGTTTTCTCTTAAATTTGTTGTGCTAAATGATGACTTATCAGTTGCTGAATATTGATAGTAGCTTCCTGTATATCTGCCATTTTCTTGTTTTTTATAACTTAAAGCCTGCATCATTCTTACAGGAGTTTCTGTTGTATACTTTATGGCTGCTTCAAATCATCAGTGTGTCCAGACAAGCCTATCGGTGGATGCTCTTTGTAAGAGATACCCATCTCTAAATTTTCTCAAGGTAATCTTTGCAAGTTCAAATGTTCTACTTCTTTAAAAAAATGCACTTTTTTCTTAGCCATGTCCTTTGTTTAACACAAGGTTGATATAAATGAGAGCCCAGCTGTTGCCAAGGCAGAGAAGGTGAGAATTGTGCCAACTATCAAGATTTATAAAAATGGAGCTCATGTGAAGGAGATGATCTGCCCCAGCTTGCAGGTGCTGGAGCTTTCATTGAGGCATTATGGCATGTAGCATTGAAACCCAGCGCTCTTTTGTAAACCCATCTTTTCCAATTCATAAAAGTCGCTGCTTTTTTCGGAAACCAGCCACACAGTAATCAATTTAGTCAAAGACAAGAGGAATCCATTTTTTTTCATAATTTTCTTTTCCCCCAATCTTTTCAGATCATTTTACCATTTTCACTCTAGTTCCCCCCTTATTCATTCATTGTAGTTCCAATTTCATCCAAAGATTTCTGATTAGTCTTAGGATACCCTATTTTATTCATGGCAACCTATCATTCTCTTGTTAAAAGCCTAACGTGAAATATGTACTGTACTATTGCTTTAGATTTTCAGGATTCACTTTTCAGGTTCATTATTTGGTGGGGAAGGAGAGATGGTGGGTTTGGATTTTTACATGTATATACACCATATTGAAAGCATTAGAAGCCATTGCTTTGAATGGGTAGAATGGTCGGGGAAGGGATCATAACTGAACTATGAATATTTTTTGGGGCGGTAAGGAAGAGAGACATTTTGTTTTTTGTTACTGCTGCTGTTGCTGTTCTATCCTTTCCATTCTCATGAATAAGAGACCAGGTATTCTTTTCAGGTGCACTTATGTTGTGTTCTTTTCCATTCTCCTATACTTTTTCATGATTTTATTGTTGAATTATTTTCACACCGGTGCAGGTTGGCATATTTTTAGTTCTTTTTTATTTCTTGTTATATGCTACTTGTGATGCGAGAAAATGAAATAAATTATGGAAATGATCTCTAGCATTTTTAGTATTGCTTTATGTAATCCAAGATTTAAGGTGCTCTATTTGGTTCTAAATTCGTGGAATTCAAACCTGGTCCTGTATCAAATTTGCCTATTATTTTGATGGAAATTGTCGGAACAAAGCTCTCTCTCTATGAGGGCATTTTGAACTTTGGAAAGTTACTCCATTAGGTTCATCTAGTATTCAGTAATGAGATTACTCATAGAAAGCTCATATTAATTTGTTGAAATGCTTCTCTTTATCAATGTTTGTGCAATGCAGAATTTAGAATTTTGATGGTATTGATCAATTTGATTCATATTTGTTGAGCTTAAAACTGGATTGAATGTAAAAAACACTATATGACTAAGGTGAATATACTAAAAAAGAAATTCTAGAGATTTTTTGGTCATTTACCTTTTACACAGAAAGCTGTTAATTGTACCTGTACTGTTGCAGTTTAACAGATCCCATCAGTTTGGGATCAAAATTGAAAAAATCAGTTCAAAATAAATTCAATTTTTGTTAGATTGAATGTCAGTCATCCATAAATTAATTGAACGACTGAGATATGTAACATCAGGTATAAATTGAATCCTTTTTTTTTTTAATTGAGGGTGCAGAGGCATTATCTCTTTGCGGTATATGCACATGTTGAGTCCTCAACAGGTAGGTGGTATTGTTGTATTTTGGCCTCTTAATCTTGGATACATATTCATGCTGGGTTGTTGAACTCATTCATTGCCCTCAGCAACAGACCCACGTTCTCTCACTCTCTCTCTCATTGTGATTCTTTATACCTTTTCTAAATGTCAGAAAGTTTGATTTTTGTACATGGAAGATTTCTATTGAAGATTATTGAAAAATGCTTCTGGAACACATGTTCCTAAAGCTTCTTTCTTGATCGAACAAACAAACCTGGCCTTTTCTCTTTTCGCCTGCTTTTTTTTTTCATGGCATACATACATATTCATAAGGAAAGATGATTAGGTGGTTAAATTTAGAAAGTAATATTTGGAAATTTTTTTTCTGCAATCATTTTTTTTAGGGGCATTTACATACAGGCCACCCAATTCCTGAGGATTTTCAGATAGAACGCCTAACATCACTTTTTTATTTTTATGCCACTTAATTTTCATATCACCTCAAAAATACCATCATTTTAATTTATAGAGTGATAATACACCTTTTCATTCATAAGTAAGATGGTATGATGGAAAAAAGACCAATGGATTGAGAAAATATTGCTTGTCCTTCGCAGGTTTGGATGATGAATGGTTGGGCGATCGTTCGGCATACACAGATGAAGTGGCCGCCGGCCATGCCGAGCTGTCGCCCGGCCATTGACTAGTTGCAATATTTTCTCAAATGGATCCCACTAGTGTTAGCCTCTGCTACAAGTCTAGTTTCCGGCATGTTGGGTTTTTTGTCAAACTTGGCGGGTTGTGTTAGAATATGGGCACGAGCCTGTAATTTTCTTTGCAATTAACAAATGAAAAAATAAAAAAGAAAAGGATTTTTATGGCATATCATCATATTATGATATTTCACTTATTTATTAACATGCCATTTTACTTTAATAAATTTTGTACCTAGATATTGCAATATTTAGATGATAAGATGATAGATAATGGTTTCGTAAATCCGATGATTATTAGTTATTAAAAACAGAAAAGTAATATTTTAATTGATATAAAAATTTACAGTAACTTCCTTATAAAATTTTCATTTTAAAAAATAGATGGGACCATATGCGATGATTTTAGCAGTACAAGAAGTCTGGATGCTATATTGTTGGTCAAGGCCAGATTAGACTAAACATGTTCTTTTTTGGTGGCAATTGACGACCGTAAAAAGGGTGTGTAACTAATTAAAGTTTCTCAGCAGAGTCCTCCAAAATTAACTTTGGGCCTTAGAATGCTCCACTTCAATCATCATTTTTTGTTATCCCTAATTTTATATGAAGAAGATTCTCTGAATGTCTGCTTCTATGATTGGATCACAGTGATTGCAAACTGTGAGATTAGCAATGCACTGAATAATTGAGCTTGCTTTGGAAATTTATGATAACATTTCAAGTTGAACTTCATTTATTAAGTTATGGTAAATCTTATCTTGAGATTTGGACAAATCAGCCTTAAAATTTCACCTTGTATAACAAAAGCATGCAACTTGAATTGGATCTATGGGCAATGATTATAAAATGATCACTTCGAGGGTTTTAAGATATATAAATCTCTGCTATTTCTCGTTGGAATATTCCAAACATATTAATTTGGTAGTCAGATTATAGTGATTAATAATTTGTTATCAACCACATTAGTAATAGGGTGCATTAATACCGGTGTTGTTAATATAAATTGATTTTAATTGTCAAAGTGTTCATTGATGTTGTTAGACTGTCTTCGACAACGACAAAAAACTTGGCATGCCAAAACTTAGTTAGAAGTAAGTCAGACGAATAACACAAGTGAATGTGTCAAGTAAAATGTGGTTTAAGAGTCCGTGTATTGATTCCACGATGAAAGTCTAACAATTATTTCAAAAAAAATCTCTAATTTACTAATTTAGTGAACCTAGCATGGCGTGATTGTAAAGATTGTTTAAGTCCTAAGATTCCTGCAAAAAATAGAATAAATTGCAGGCAATAGAAAACTAAGGCAACAGAAAAGTATTTGTGAGTTCCTTCAAGGTTGATGAGGCTTGAATCTCCATGATTTGAGAATCATGGTGATCTTGGCTTTCCTAAATGTTTTCCTATATGATTGTTGTCAATCGGGGATATATTACTTCTTATGCATATGTTTAGGTCAAAATAAGCCTATAATCTATGAAGTTGAGGCTCCCTCATTCCCAATTTCATTCTGCATAGCTTTTCCAACCCCTTGAGACGATTGTTAAATTCCACTTGAATATGTATATTCTCTTGAAATTATGTGATTAACCTTTCGTTTCCATCACGCAACGGTTAAAGGTCTTAGCTTCAAGAAATATTTTAACATTCTTTTTGTCATATTAGAAGTAAAGAAATTCACAGATTAATTAACAACATAAGCCATGAAAGCACAAGAAAAAAATAATAGAAAAACATTATGAAAAAAAAATCACGATTAAATATACTACATCTACATTGCAAAGGCATGAAAAATGAAATTAGCCATGCATCGTCGAGAAAATCATAGCAAGGAAAACTATGTAGGAATTCATTGCAAGAAACTAAAACATGTATAACAATAACTTGGTCTCTCCATAATGAAAGCAATCCTTCCTCTCTGACAAATCTCTCACAACTCACAAAACAAAGGAAAAACTTACCCCTCAAGGTTTCCACCAAAGGAGGAAGAAGTCATTGAGGAAAGTTCTCAAATTCTCTCAAGCCCTTGCTTCCCATAGCCTCTAACTCCTCTCTGATGCAAAATTTTAAAGGCAAAAAAAAAAAAGCAAAGAAGAAGACCTTCTCTCATGACACAAATAATTCTTTTTAGTTATGTTTTATAATAAGGGTCCAAATTTGGCATCCAAACACTCCAAATCCGTCAATTGGTCTAAAATTGGCAAGCAATCGCCCAAAATATGCTTTTTGGATATCCAGTGGTGTGGTCATGCAAGAACCTGGCATAGTCATACCCAAAACGGGCTTAGTCACGTTAGTTCTGGCATGGTCTCACCCCGTTCACGCTTGACTACACCAGACATCACTATATCGTGCTTTTTTTACTCCATTTTATATGTTTGAATATTATAACCTGCGCAACGTTAAAAAAACTTTTCTCAAGTGTAAATCTATGATAAATCAGTAAAAATAACAGGTAAAAAGCATTTACTCCATTTTATATGTTTGAATATTATAACCTGTGCAACGTTAAAAAAACTTTTCTCAAATGTAAATCTATGATAAATTAGTAAAAATAACAGGTAAAAAGCCTGGTAAAATATATGTTTAATCAAGTAATATTGAAGCATTCAATACCTGCAAACTTATTATATTACTTGAACTCAAGTAATCTCACAGCTCAATTGGGATCCCACGAGAAAAATAGATACTCATGCATGTTTATAACTATTCAACTTGTTTATGGAAATGAAATAAAAGTGTTTAAATGTTATCTTAGGATCAATTATCTTTAATGGTTAATAATCCGAATCAATTGGGATCCCACGAGAAAAATAGATACTCATGAATGTTTATAACTATTCAACTTGTTTATGGAGATGAAATAAAAGTGTTTAAATGTTATATTAGGATCAATTATCTTTAATGGTTAATAATCCGAAATTTTTCTTAATTCGTTCTATTTTTAAGAAATCTCTTAGATTCTTTAATTGGTGTTATTTAAAGTATCTGTTACTAACCTCAAATGTCTTTAAACAACTTCAGTGGATTTCTCCAACTTAATATTATTAACACTTTCGTTTGATGATAACCTTAAAGTGGTTTCATTAAGAAATCATGAAAAATTTTATCACTAAAGTTTCACTAAACACGCTTATGGTTCCCTTTTTTTCCTTGAATTTTGTTCTACCAGTCTCAAGCTTCTTCTCAGAGCTTTTTACGTTTTCAATTTGTCATTTTCTTTTTTTATATTTATCTCCTAAGAATTACTGTATGTGTTTGATAATTTTTTCTCTTCTTACTTTAAATGTGATGAAGGGTAGTGTTCCTTAAGCAATAATTCTTAACAATGATAGTTTAGTTTCACACATTTAGGTTACCTTTGACCCGACCCGCAATTACATGTATTTTTAATTTCCAAAATTTTGTCAAAAACTTCTCCCAATTTATATTTAGAGGCTAGTGTGAATAAATGAAATGATATAGAAAAAAAATAAGAAAACTTCACACTAGAGGTATTACGCAAGTATAAATATCGTTTCAAGTAATATAGGATTTTGTTACAAACCCTCAGTATCGATTCCACAAGGAAAGTTGAATTCCTTAAATTGGAATAGCAAA